TGCTGGTGATGAAGGGAACAAAGACGGTAACTGGCACTGTTAGTCGAGCTCAGAGCTATCAAGCGGTCCCTCTGTTGAACCCCTATCTTCCATCTCGAGCCGGGAACTGTAATCTTTACGACGAGTGAAACGATAAAATTGAAAGTTATGGGACAATAAAAAAGACGTTCAATATCTCGTGAACAACCATAAATTGAAGCGTTTTGATTCGAAGAAAACCACAGAAGAAGGCACGTTGAATGATAATGCTGTGGCTTTAAATGCTCGAGAGGCGAGAACAGCGAAGAGTGATTCACTATGACGAGTCAACTGGCTAGTTAATGCTATTAGCTTCGATATTTTGCCAGGATATAACGTTTCACATGACGAGGACGTAATGTCAACGTTTTTCTGAAGTAATAAAGTTTACCGGTGGGATTCTGCCGAGGGAGGAGGAGTTTTGTAGGTCCCTGTCGACGTACCGGGATCCGGACGCTATGACACAACGTTGCAACATGAGACCGGTTTTTTTTCACAGCCTTGTATTCTGGAACATGACTGCAGTCGGGACATTCACTGTTACGCCAAAGTAGTACTCGATCAGGTGGAAAACTCACGATCGACTAGAAACGCATCGGAGTGTTCATAGCATCGATGCTTTTTTTAAGCGTTATGAACAGTCCTCGCAGCTACAGACGACATAATACAGTCCAATTTTTGATATTTCACGAATCTCCGTCTATGAGTTATTAGAATCTAACAATTGGTAGAGTTATTTGAAAAGGAATGAAGGGAGAATGAAGAGATACAGGCAGCGCGACAGCATCGTAATGTGTGATAAATGCGTGGTGCTAGTACGACCCCCTCCCTCTGCTCGAGGGAGTCTTGCGTACGATCGCCCACCTAAAATCAGGATCTTGGTGCGACCGCCCTCCCTTCTCCAGCACCTACCTACCGATTTCCCACATTCTCCAGTGTTCCACTCACAGATTTTCCGTTGGGGAGGGTGAGGTCAACAAACAGGAAAATTTTTTTTCGCAACGCGGCAAATTTCTGGCAAAGCCACATACGACCCCTATCCCAACAACGACCGAATAGGACCCCCTCACCAGCCAAAAAGTAAGACCCCTATGTGTTCCACACACGATGCTGTACTGATACAAAAGAAAGCTTAAGCATATGTTGAGTGTATGTGGCTCCAGTAGAATGAGGTTTCTTCGGGATAGCTCTTCTGATAACTTTTGTTAACACAGCGGGCAGCGCACGGCTGATACACGCAAACGAAACGAGCTGTCAGTTCATTTCGAGTGGGAGTTAGAATGTAAGCACCCAACACAAATGGCCCTTCGGAGACGGCAGTTAGCGATTGGGTTGAGGGTTCGGCACTGAATAGTAGCTTTAAAATGCATCTTATCCAATTCAGCTCCCATTATGTATCCCACAATCGCGAGCTTCAGCTACAAAAATTCTTAGGGTACCACTCATTTCTCTCATGAAACAGTTTACTTTGAAGGGAAAAAGCTCGCGATTTTATGTGCTTGAGTCTCGAAAAGCCTATTGATTCAGCGCGTCTGTCGCTTGGTCCGATCTCCACTTAGCAACTGGCTGTACATTACATAAAAAGGATCTATTCCAAAAAAAAACCTCCTTTGAGGCGGTTGGCACGATAAATCCCTGAGACGAGTAGGATTAATACGCCTAGCACGATGGAATTACGTGCCCCCTGAGCAGGCTCTGCTAGTTCCTTTTCCAGGGAAGGGCGCTAGAAATCCCTATCGTGCTGCAACAAACCGACCCGGACACCCACCGCGCCCGTTTGCCACAAATGACGACCGCATCTGATGCTCGTATTGCTTCATTTGCTAAGTAAAATATGAATCGGAGGGATTGATATGAAGCGGCCGCGGTGCTGCATGGACTCACGAGTACATACGTGCGGCCGTATCCATCGTAGCGGTTACTGGCACGATACCTACGGGAAACTCGTCCAAAATTGCTTTTTGAGTTCGGTCAAGACGCGAAGGCTTCTACTTCGCAGATTTTGGCCGTTTCACTTCAGATTTTTTTCGCCATTTCCCCACCCTGTTTAGCATTTTTAGCGGTACCAAGTTATCGTGCCTTTTCTCGGTACAGGGATCCCACACAATCTAATCATTGATTATTTTCCTGTCTGATTTGTACCCTGATTTATTTTCCTGTCTGATTTGTACCCCATTAGATCCAGAGTGAATTCAAATGAAGGCGACCTAGAATGGTATGGCGCCACCAGGTGGCATAATTTTTCGGAAGGTATTTCCTGGGAACCTCCATCTCTGAAGTTCGACTTCGAAACAGGCCGCACACAAGTCACTGGAAATATTCAACCCTGCAACTTCCTCTCAGGTTCAGACTCAACGATATAAACGATGGCACTTTTGAAGTCCCGCTCCGAACTCATTTGTTATTCAGTAGCCCTCTTTGGGAATGATAGTCCTTTCCGCAAGCATGAAGGATGTACCACCTTAGCAGCTCGAAAATATGTGAGGAGGCGCGATCCACTCGCGACGAGGCCACTGCTCCGCCCACTAGCCACGGAAACGCCCATCCTCTATTTCTGAAGGTTTCCTGGTGCGATTGTACGCCGCTACTAGCTCTCTTAATTTCAAGAGGTGGTAGTGGGATGATAAGTAGAAACAGCGAACCGACAAATAAAACTGGTCCCACCAGCCCTTTCTTCGCCTTGTGCACGTGCAAGTGCTGTTGAGCATGGGGTTCTATATGGAGCATTTCCGCCGGGTTTTCTCTGCTTTTTTCCTCTTTTTTCCGAGCTAAATTAATGAGGTATCCTGTCCAGATAGCAGAGTGCGAGGTTTGAACGAAATTGAGCAGTTAGAGGTGGGCTGAAGCGGGTCCCCGTGAACGCGAGCGCCATTTTTTCGGGCTAACGAATGTGATTCGTGTTCAAGGAATAAATGAGACAAATTGCAGCTCAGTTGTGAACCATACAACTGTAGGGCAAAGTAACTTAAATTATTTTGATAATAAATACTCATGACTTACTTTTTAACACTACGTTCCTGCAGACATACTAATACGACACTAGCTACGAACTTGAACACTTCAGCGAAGAAAACTGAGATCGCCTGAAACAGCTAACCTTCATGCTAGGTATGGTAAACATACCCCAGGTTACAAGACTAGAAACCAGATTTGCTGCACAAAGTAATCAGCGTGGGACATAATGTTAACTAGAAGTAGTAGTACGTCCACGAAAAATAGCAGCTATTACATCAAGATATATTTAAATGAGGAACGAGAACGACAAAAAAGTCCACTCACATATTGAACAATAGCTACTCCACCAAACAAAGAAGAAAAGCGAAACCCATTGTTGAATGGACAGTTTTCGACCCAGTACTAATACAGTGAACACAGCTGTGGTGAGAATTTTCAGTTGATAAGTGACCTGCAAATATCGAGACTTTCCAAAATACTGTCCTACAGCTGCTATCAACGCAACAATGTGAAATAAGTAGAAAGAAGATGTACCATATAAGTAGCAGCTGGCAGATTCTCCACTGCAACATAAAGCAGAAAATTCTGAATCGTATAGACAACTGCTGGTACCAGTACTTTCAGCGCATCACGCCAATGATGGACAAATTGATCATAAATCTGGGCTAAGCCCCTGAAAAAAGAAAGGTTCGTTCATCTCAAACTTCATGTACTAACGTGTGAGTGCTGTAAGGTTACGGCATAAGCCGTTAAGCTGAGAGGGTAAAAGCGGCCCTGGTGGCGTAACGGATAGCGCACTCGCCCGGAAAGCGTGAGGTGCGGGTTCGACTCCCGCCTGGGGCACGACTTTTGCCCACAACTCAGCATTCTTGTGATATCTTGAAAATGTTCCGATCCGGTACTGAAATCTGACCCGCTCCTTCCTGTCAGCCAGCATACGACCACGTCCCCTTCACCCAACAGCCCGATTACGACCCACCCATACGCTAATTTCTTCGGCACATGCTGCGTGAGGAACACATACTGCTTTGGTCAATGTGGACTCCTCACGTAACATCAATACAAAACTACCAGGTGTTTTCTTTCTTTTAACGAAAAGTTTTGATACCATTAGTTTTGTGAAAGCGTCTTCAATGGTCGGCATTGCTGTTGACGAAATTTCGTTTGCCATCGCAGCTGCCAAGCGTTCAGCCTTTTCTCGATCATTAGACATTTTCTGGTCCTGAAAACTGGTCATGATAATCCTATAGTAAACAAATGGTAATGCCTACAACGTTGTTTGCTGATCTCTTTTCGGGTTCGATTTTTTATGGTTTCCCGTGAGCATAGGGACCCTTCTGATGGTCAATTTATAGAGGGCATGTCTCAAGTGTTTACTTCGAATGATGTTGGAGATGAGCCTTGTTAATGAATTTTTCTAGCATCCTTTGACTTCCTCCAACTTTCCCAAAAAATTCTCCGCCGAGCGGAGGAGGAGGAGGAGGGGGTAGTAGTGGGAGATCGTCACCAATCAACTACTAGTTTC